AGGAATGAACAGGTCAGCCCTGTGGCACATCAAAGCAGCAAGGTACCTGCTGCAGGGACCTTGAGGGAGGACAAAGGCTTTCAGATCTCAATAGCCCCAGCCCAACCACTTCACACAGAAACTATATGCAGAGCACACACTGAATGCACAGCTCAAGAACTGCTACCCTGCAGATGCTGCATCAGAGTGAATTATTGAGAAACTCCTCCAACAGATGGCATGTCTTGGGCTGATAACATCTAAAAAGCCCATGACTAGAGCAGCAGCTTGATGAGTGCATCATGTAGTTGCACATGGCAGCTCCAGTGCTGTTCGCAACCTGAGAAGTATTGTACATCTCCTCTCACCCCTAGATTATGGAAAATGGTTACACAAAAGCCCCCTCTGCCTTGCCCTGCAGGCCCACAGCAAGGTGGCAGGGCATATTTTGAGTGACACAGACACTGGCATTTATTTTGCAAAAAAATACCTGTTCTGCTTATGTCAGAGCTGGAGAGGAATATGAAACGGGTGCCAGAGCAAATCAGCACTCCTAACCCAGACCATGTCACTGTGCTGAGTGACAGTGCCACAGTGCTCCCAACACCATCACACTCCCTGTACACATATGGGACAGCATGTGCTAGTGACAGCACTGGTACAGTACTTCTCACTGCTGCTCACTATGGGGATGTGCCTCTCCTGTATACATAGATGTGGTAAGACATTTTATACTTGCTCACAAAAAGAGCTTTGAAGTTCGCTGTCAAGACAACCAAAGAGCCTTCTTTGCACTTAATGGGCCTCACCCCACAGGTACTTCCCAGCCACAGTGAATGTTTTAAATGGAAAACATTTTATACAGGCCTAGGAGTGCAACAACACTCTCAAAAAACTTCTGGGTTTGCTGCAGGATGACAGTTTTAGTTTTGGAGGTGAGGGTTTAGAAGCTCCTGTGATAGGTAAATACCACAGTTGCCATGAAGAAAAGTTCTGTAACTTTTCAGAACAGCTCTGTAAGGTGGAGTGGAAGACAAATCAGGAGCACTGCAGACCCCACACAGGAGGGCAGGATTTCACATTGACTGTAAGGGATGCAGAAGAATCCTGTGCCCTCCAAAAGAGCAGATCCAATGGCAACACGAGGGTGAATGAAGTCAGGAAAAAGGAACTTCCCTGGGACTGTCTGTTCTGCCTATAAAGAGAAATTTGCTCACCAGGATGCGAAGCAGCTCCTCCAGGTAGCAGCAGATGACGTTCTCATCCTCGTAGAGCGCCCAGCTGCGCTGCTGAGCATCGTCCTTGTGCCTGGCCAGGTCTGCAAAGATCACTTCCAGCCTCTGCTCATCATGGCAAATCTGTCCCGAGGGCAGCCCCGCACTCAGATTCTGCACGACAGCAAAACTGCTGGTTAGTGGGGTCCTGACAGCTGGCTGTTGTTTGAGTGCTTGTTTCCTCTAATCTTGGTCTCAGGACTGGCAGTTGACCTCATTCAGTCAAGAGCTGGCAGCCATAGGCAGCAAGTTGAAGACATGTTATTTCAGCTCTCATACTTTTGGGCCCTTTACCCACCTCATTTCCTTGCATGGCTAATGCAGAGAATGAATCAAAATAGGTGTCAGAACTGGTGCAGTCAGAAAGTTGTTAAATCAAAGCTGCCACTGTCCTTCTGGAGCATTAGCTGTCACAGTATCACAGAGCTGTTAGGGTTGGAAGGGACCTCTAGAGATCATCTAGTCCAACTCTCCAACTGAAGTAGGATAACCTAGAGCACTTTACACAGGGCTGCATCCAGGTGGGTTTTGAGTATCTCCAGAGATGAAGACTCCACAACCTGTTGTCTAGCAGCACACAGTGACAAGTCACCATCATTCAGTGTGAAAAGGCCTTTATTGCTACCAGCCAGGACATCCTGCTACTGTGCTGTGTATTCTGGAAACCTGAAGAAGACTTAGTCCTGCACGGCTCCTTCCAACAGGCTGGCTGTGCAGCCAGGGGCAGCAAACTTTTACAGCAGACCTTCACAAGCAGAGCAAAAGGGTTTTGTACAGAGACCAGCCCACATTCTGTGTCAGTGGTGACACACACACAGTTGCACACCCACACCACCAGTACCGGAGACTGCCAAGGGCAGGAGCAGCACCCTTCCTGCACACCTTCCACCCTCCAGTCCTTTCTGGGAAAACCACTCCAGGTTTAATAGTAACTTCTCACCTGCTTTATTACAGACAGAATTGCTAGTAATTTGCTTTGGGGTATTTGGGGTGTCAACTAATTAGTACTTCAAGTCAGTGCTTCAATTATATAATAAAAATTATCCTTGTTGCCACCACCCACTACCTAATTTTTGTCAGGCAGGTAACAAAGGAAGGAGCATACTGGTTTAACATCAGCCTCTGTAAATTCTCTAAAATTTTGGGAAGCTGTGGGTGGCTGGAGAACACCAGGCAACCAGCTGAGCGAGGACAGCAGCTTTCAGGAGCTGAGCACAAACACCAAGAGAATATCCCACTGAACAGTATTTTATCATGAGCAAATATGTTAAGAGACTCACTTGGTCTTGCATCTCCTCCTCTCTTTGGAAGGACCTACAACACTGCAGTGTCACCTGCCTGTCCTTGTCTGTCCCAACTGCCCAGGAGAGGGTTCTCCATTTATTTACCTTACACATCTTCCTCACCTGAGCAGAGCAGGGCTGGTCTTACCACAGTCCACTGCTGGGACATCTTTCTGGATGAGCATTTTAATGAGTACTCATTTTAATGATCACTCTATTCAGCCTCTTATCACTAATCTGCTTCCTCCAATCCTTCATCTGCAGCCCTTACAACTCCATGGAGCCTCAAGCTTCTAATGGACTTGGATGAGATCAATCCATTAACAAGCTCTTCAATCCAATCACTGTAGCTATACCACACACTGTCTCAATGCACTCTCAGCACCATTCTCAGCCCTCCCACCACTGGGGTCAGGTCTCTGATTATTAAATATCTTGGCAGCTACTCCAACCTGCAACCTCATCATCTCGTCATTTCCAGGAATCTGCTGGAGAGCTCATAAACAGGAGGAGCTTTTGGTATTTCTAACAAGGCCACTCTGCATTATCTGGCTGCTTCAAATAGTTCCCTCCTCCCAGCCCAGCAGAACAAACTTCTGCAGGGACCTTGTTCCTCCAGAGCAGCCCAAAACCATTTTCAGAACCTCATCACACCCACACTGTTCAGAGGTGGTCATGTCTGCCATGAAAACCCAGATGCCATCCTGCTGAGCTCTTCCTCCCATTTTTTTCCTCATCCCCTCCCCTGTCTCCCTCCTTCCCTCCTCCCTACCACATCAGCACCAGTGCCATAGATATACACACCTAACAGAAGTTTCCCTCCAGATGAGCCCAGATCTACCTTGGTTAATCACAGAATCACAGAATCTTTGGAGTTGGAAGGGACCTTAAAGATCATCGAGTTCCAACTCCCCTGCATGGGCAGGGGCACCTTCCACTAGAACAGGCTGCTCAGAGCCCCATCCAACCTGCCTTTGGACACCTGCAGGCATGGAGCTCCCACAGCATCTCTGAGCAGCCTGTTCCAGTGTCTCACCACCCTTATACTGAAGAATTTATGCCTGATCTCTAACCTAAATCTCTTCTTCTTTCAGCTTAGAACCATCACCCCTCGTACTCTCACTGCAAGCCCCTGTAAACAGACCCTCCCTAACTTTCCTGCAGGCCCCCTTCAGCTACTGGAAGGCCACTATGAGGTCCCCCCAGAACCTTTCTCTTTTTCAGACTGAACAACCCCAACTCCCTCAGCCTGTCCTCATAAGAGAGGTGCTCCATCCCTCAGATCATTTTTGTGGCTCTTCTCTGGACATATAAACATATAAACCGTTCTCTGGACATATAAACCATATAGCAGCTTTTTACACACATTTCAGGGATCTACTTTGGGAATTCCCACCTCCTCTGGGCAGCAAACCAATCCCACTACAACACCAGCTATGAAAACCAGGCAGCTAACACTGCCCGTGACACACACAGCCCGCCAGGCTCTCAGCAGCTGCTAAACCAGATGAAATGTGGGGCAGCAGAGATGCCCGACTTCAGCCCAGCCAAGCTCTCCATGGCAGGCCTTTCACAGGCAATCATTGGGCAGCAGCAGGTCTGCTCCCAGCTGGGTACCCCTGGGACACAGCCCTGCCACTGGGAAGGCCAGCTCTGCTGTGCACAGACGTGTGGGCTGTCACACAGAAAGAGAAGCACTTGGCTTTCAGTCAGGTCTCTGCAACCTCTGCTTTTCAGGTGTCCCAGCCTCCTGCAACCCACTGCACATTTTCTGCACAGATGTTCTCAGCTCTCTCTGGATGTGTGTGGCCTTTCTACAGCTGAAGTGAGATGGCACAGACCTTCATAAAGGCTCCTCTAGCTGTCAGCAAGCAAAGGACTTGCCTTAGCACTAACACAATCCTCCCACCCTCCAGATGCACTTTTGTTACAGTATGTCACTGAGGAGCCCTGCGTAGGGGTGCGAACAGCCCAGCCAGGGGAGTCAGCCTTGAAAACCCTCTCCCTGCTGACCTTCACATTGTAGCAGGCAAGCAAAGGGACAAAGCTCCTGCAGCTGAGCCCCAGAGCAGCACTGATGTCTTGTGAAAAGCATTTCTCCTTTAAGCAAAGACAAATCAAAGAACGAATGGGAACTGCATGCCAGGGGCAGCCCGTGTAGATTCTGGGGAAGCAGAGGGAGCTTGGCTATGTTAACCACGAGTTGGGGACAACATGCGGCCACCAGGCGCTGCTAGTGGGCAGCTGGGAGCAGGTCACAGCCCAGCACTGCAGGGGAAACCCTCTCCAGAAATAAGCCAGCTCCCACAACAACTTCCTAACTTGTTCCTCCAGCTCCGACACATTCAAGAACTGTTCAACCCCATCCAGCAGCCTGGGCTGATCTCTAAGACCAAACTGAATTACACGCCTCTGTGAGCAGTTTCTAAGCTTAAACTAAGGCAACCAGAGATGGGTCTGAATCACAAGTGCAATACAGCAATACTAATTCAATAAAAGCAGCTAAGTGATTTCTAAGCACTCCCTCTCAAGGTGTACATAGCTTGTGTATTAAGCAATTTTGTTTGTCTCACACTCAGTTTAATAAATCCTCAAATTGGCCTCTCAAGATGAGAGGACTATGGTACCACCCCCTCCTCCTGGATGGGAGATAATTCAGCAGAGCTGAAGGCAATCACAAACCACCAATACATAATAAACCGAGTGATTCTCCAGATGCTTGAAAATCAGGCAGCATATATATTATCTTCAGTTACATCCAAATTTCAAATGAGTTCCCACAAGCCAGCTCCAGTTTAGACAGTCACTGCAGCAATGCCTTTGAGAAGAGGTTTCATTTCCCGTTGTGCATCTTGCAGAGTCACCATGCCACTCCTCAGGAACTGGCTCAAGAGCAAGAAAAGGGGCCATTTCCAAGGCTGGGCCAAATCCTCAATGGGGAAGCCTCCTCAGCACATCTGCTCCTGCAGATCAGGCTTCCCCAAGTAGTATGGTACCTCTGAAGCATCTGTCCTATGGTGTGAGCACCTCAGCACCTTTGCCCCAACATAGCCATATGTTACCTTTCTAAAAGCAGGAGCATGATGCTGTCCCAGCAGAAAAGTTCTTTGTTCTCTTGGAAACAGGTGCCTGGGCAGACTCCAAGCTGGAGGAGCAGCAAGGTAAATAAGAGGAAGTGCCACTGCAATTCAACCTTCAGAAGGCACTGGGGATAGGAGCAAGGTAATGGATTCTGGAATTGATTTTGTAAACTAGGGACTTCAAATTAAGACAGTAATAGGAATAGAAAGGCTAAAACTAATTAAAGGATGTGATACAGAGGGTTGAAGCAGGTATAATACCTACTGTGAGCAGACCAAAGCTTTAAATACAAGCTGATCTCTTGCTCTGTTTTAGGGAGTGGAAGAAAAAACCTTGAAAAACATGCAAAAGAAGAGCTGACCACATATTTGTGTATTGGGGTATAAAGGGATTTCAGAAGTTACAAGTTAAACAAGTCCTTGACCTAGAACTGACAACTCAGCAACAATTCTACACAAAACCCCCTGAGATTGTGGAAATATTTGGTATCATGAACACCACAAAATCAACAATAATAATTTGTACAATTAAACTATGTTAGTGAAGCTACGGCTGTACAGCCACCCAGCTACACAACTGCCCCTGTAACTGTTAAGAGTCTTCTACAGCAGGTGAACCACTTCATCTGGGACCAGGCACCTACACATGGGCACAGCTACACCTTCTGCATGGGACAGTCCGGTGGAACCCACATCACAACCACAACATTTATACCTGAGCACTGTGCAAGCCCACCCAGGCTCTCCTAAAAGCTGTACAGCTCAAGATAGCTATGATGAAATGGGACAGGAATGTCTGTGTCTCCACACAGTACTGGTCAATTTTACGTCTGCTCTAGAGCTTTTTAAGTCAGCTGTGGAGCCCTCAGCACAGGAAAGACAGATCTGTTGGACAGGGTCCAGAGAAGGGCAGAAACCTGGCACTAAATGATTTCCATGGAATTGAACTTACTGTATACCGAGAACAGGTATTAAAGATAATACTCAAATCTTGTCCAAGGTCGAAATAACAGAAAACTCAACTTCTTAGCATGTGAGTCAGAGCCAGAACATTTGCCTGAAACAGCTAAATTTTTTTGCTGAATCTAGATCACACACTGACAATGATATTGTTACTGAAGTAGGAAGCAATTACCCTTTGGGTTATGGCCACAAACTGAGACTTGATGATTGCTCACAGGACCCTCTGTTCAGTGCAGACAGTTAACCAGATTATGGTTTTATCTAAAATCTGAATGCCATTAGTTTTCCATATTCAAATGGCTCTGAAGAGTTCATTATAATCTTGCCATTAGCAATGGAATTCCAATCTTAGATGTTGATATGACACATACTCCTCGGGGCTGTATTTGGCAAGTGGGAGCTGAAATTTATTATCCCTCCAACTAAAGCAGAGGGCTGCCCAGGTGTGCTTTGCCATTTCAAGGACTGCTGCAAGAAGCTGCCTTTTATTTCCTCCATTGCATGTCTGCAGCAGAAGAAAGAGGAATATACAATAGCTTTGGCATCAAGTTTATTTAGAGTAAGTCAAGATAATGTTCCTCCTCCAGTGGCTGAAAACTGCTCTTCTGTAGCTTCTTAAAAAACAAACACACACAAAAAAGCAGGGCTGAGGAATGTGCTCTGGAATAATAAGGAGGTATGGATCTGTGGAAAGCTAGTTTTCATTGCTTTGACAAAAGACAAGGCCAGAGATGCAGAAGTTTTGGGTGCTCCATCATCGAAAGAGACTAGAATCTGGACAGATTTATAGTAGGCATAAGCATGTGGGATCTACAAGGAGGACGTGCAGCACCACGGAAGAAAACAATCCCATACAATGCATTCTTTTATAAAAGGTTTCCATAAAGAAGCCCTTATTGTGAAGGCTCCATTTTCCTCAGCTTCTATTTGTCAATGTCGTAACAGAAAATACGTCTTTAAAAAGTCACTATTCATTTCTTTCTCCAGCTCCATGCTGCCACAATGGTTCTCTGTGAGCCTTCACAATCAGTGGTCAACCACTCAGGTCCCACTGTAGCCATTTCTACCATGATTTTGTCACTAGTGCTGTCCCTGGGACCTGGAGGGTTGCCACCTCCCACCCGATGTGCTCATGTGGTTCAATTCGCTGTCATCCATCTCATTACCCTCTCCCCAACCTGCAGTCCCATCTGAGGCACCCACACCTCAGCCTACCAGTGCTTCTCAGCACCGTGGGCCCTCTCTGCTGGTTTCACCTCTCGCCTCCAGCTCCAAACTCCAGGTTACACCATACATCTGCAACTCATCTGGGGTATAAACTCACCTGTTTTCCACTTCCCTGCTACCAGTACTCAGACCTGGTTTAAATCCATGGTTCCCTTGGCTATACATTTACTCCATCTAGCACCTCTTCCCTTTCCTTTTGGATCTCACTGCACTTCTCATAACACAGTCTGTCCGATGCTACAAGGTGGCCTGCAGCAGCCCCCATCCCCATGTGTTACCTTACTCTCCACCACGGAGATGAGAATCTGCTCCATGATGCTGCTGGTTGTGGGGACAGAGGTCTGGATGTGGCCGATGACCACGCCGATGGCCACGCGGGACAGCTCGTAGCTGAGGTGGGTGTTCCTGCGCACCAGCTCGATCAGTTCAGCACCTATTGTCTTGGGCACTGATGCCACCAGGCCACCGGGTTCTGCTGGCCCCGGCTCCACCACAGCCGCCTTCTTATCCTCCAGGCAGAGGGAGCTGAAGGCATCCAGGCTTGCAGGGGGTGCCGGGGCAGCTTTCTTCACCTGAGAAGTCTTCTCTCCATCCACAGTGTGGGACCTCTGGGTCCCCCCTTCAGCTGGTGGTGCCGGGGCTGCCCTCTTGGTCTGGGGAGACTTGCTGGCCCCATCCTTTGGGGAAGTCCCGTAGCGGGAGCCGGTGTCCAAGTTCCGGGTGATGGTGGTGTGGACACTGCGGCTGGGGACAGGGGGTGGGGTGTTGGCAGGGCTGGAGGTGGCAGTTGGGAGAGCCGTCTCTGACACCGAAGAAGCTGTGTACAAGGTATCCAGGGATGTTGTGCTTACAGAGGAGGCACTAGAAGCTGACCCAGGAATAACTTCAACAGTGTCTGAAAGGGAACAATTAAAAATGCCTTAGCAACAGCATCAAAGGAAAAAAGAAAAAACCCTAATTGCTACAGCACAGGCCATTAAAAGGCTCATTGTGCATGAGACCGGAGCAGTTTAACTCCTCTTCCTGCCTCACTTATCTCAAAGCAAAATTGTACCAGCTCTCTCTGGAGCATTCCCACACAACCACCTCTTTAGAAAGAGGAAAACTACTCTATTGAGATTAATACCCTTCAAAGGGCTCAGTGTTTTATGCAAGGGAAAGGAGGGAGGGACAGGGCTAAGTAGACAGAGAAGTCTTTTCCTCCTGGCTCACCAAGGGCCTTTCTCACATTCAGGATCTAAGACCCCACTTTTGAATGATGGTGCCTGAGAATTGCAAGACACTGAAGGCTTCCCACACCAGCCCACACCTCCCTCATGCACGAACCTCACAAACTGCACACCCTGGTTAGCACCCATGGTGAAGGAAACATTTGGCTGCCAACACCTCTAATCTCTCCCCTTCAGAACCCTCCAACACTTGATCATGAGCCCTACAGCCTGCTTCCACAAGCCTCCATGTTATCTGCTCTAGTGTGTTTCTCCCCCTGCCTCTAGTTTTGTCTTCCAAGGGAAAAAAATCTACTATATTCAGAGTTGTTCAGATTTTTTTCTCCCTTAAACTGTCTAATATATATTTTTGGTAAACCTTACCTGTTTGTTTCTAGGGGGCAGAAATGTATCCAAGTTCTTTCCTGATTATGAAAACATTTAATTGGGCCAACACTAGACTACCTGAATCTAGAGCTTCACAAGAGCACCTGATGTTGGTGCTGGAAGAGGAGTGCACCCCATGGGACACCAAGCTCTCAAGGAAGGCAGCTTCCCCCACACCAAATGAAGGACCAGTGGGACAGACAAGTGAAACACCTTTGCTGCACCTCTGAAGGCAACTCCATCCCTTCCCGTCCCATTGGTTCTGGGAGCTCTCCATTACTCCATCCACCCTTCCACCCCAAGGCAAGCATAAGCTAGGCAGAAAAACAGGACCCTTCCCTCCCACAGGGAAGGGTTCTCCTCATAGAGGAGCATTCACAAATCACAGCTCCCATCATGCTTCATTAAATCAAGATAGTGAGTTGAAGGAAACTGACCTTTGTGAATTCCCACTACCACAGTGGAAAACCACTCAATACCATTACGTACCATTAAGTACACTGGTGCCAGCCCCAAGGTTCAATTAACACAAGTCAACAGCTCTGCCTGTTCCTCACAAGGGATATGAGTGGGCTTGAGATGGGCTGTGTCACTAATAGCATGACCTTAGCCCTATAGGTCCTGCTCTGCTTTGAAGTGCTCACAACCAGCAGATCCCCTGCCTGTGGGCAGCACACACACAGCCATGCCCCTGATATTACTCTGCTTCTTACAGACACCAGACACCAATTTTATGGAAATCCCATCTGAACACTGTACAAAGAAAGTACCCAACAGACTGGGAGCCAAACACAGACTTGGATCTGTCCCAAAGGTGCTACCTCCTGGTCAACTGCTGTACTCAGCACTGCAAAGGGAAACTGCCTCTGCCTTGCTGCGAGATGGCCATGGTGTATGTGAGATTAAAACACCCACAAGGATCTTAAATCACCAAGATTGTGTGCTGGCCAGATTAGCCATGTGAGCAGGCAGAGAGTTTGCTTCCTGGAGAGCACCACATTACCCAGGGCCACTGGCACTGGAGGATGCTGTACCTGGCACCTAACCAAAGGCACCAGGCTGCCCAGGCCCTCTAAGATCAGAGAGGACTTGAAAGAACCCTCAGCCCATGATCACTAGCATTATAGCCTATAGCCATTTAGGATACAGATATTTATAGATATATATATACAAAAGGATATCGATCCTCTCAGAACTTAGGAGCTATATAAGGATGCTCTTGGAAGCACAAACCAGAAGCATCCAGGCACCATGACTGGTACATTGCCCAGTGTCCATTTTGTGCCTGTGATCTGGAAAGCAGTTTGTCCTTACTTTTCAGGGGAGCAGCAATCTGCGGGTTCCTGCGCTTCTCTGGAGGCGGAGGGGTGACGGGAGCAGCACGTCGGGGCTGTGGTGGGATCTGCAAGGGAAGATTTCACTGCAATCAGAGGAGGCTGACAATAAAGACATTCTCTGTTATGAAACCTCTCTCACGTGTGTGTGTAGGTTTGTCCTTGCATGTCTCTCATCATTTGGGGAAGTTTTCTCAGGAGGACAGATATTAACAGGCAGCTTCCTAGAAGAACAAAGCAGGACTCAAGCCTGCTTCAACCCCTCCCTGTGACAGGCAAAGCAGCCCTTGTTTAATTGCTGTGCTCAGCAGCACACATGTCGTGTAGACCTGTCAAGCATTTACTCCTCCTTTATTCCAAATGCAATCCCACACACGCACCGTGACTCCACATTACTCTCAATAGCTCCACAGAGGCTGCAAACAGAGTGCATATTTAGACACTCTTCTGGAGAGATCCATTACATCAGCTACAAATACCCTTGCAGAAAGACAAAGCCAAGGGCTGGAGACATGTAAATGCCTTTTCCGTACTCTCAGAGCTATTTCTACTCTTGCAGGAAGAAAACAGGGCTAGACCCTCTGTGCAATTCTACGCTACCAATGGCAAGATCCACTGGGAAAAGCTTTTGCCAGGGAGTTGCATTAACTCTCCACATCTGGGGTTTCTCCTGTAACACTCCTCTGCTAGGAATGCCAAGCCAGCAGTGTTCAAGCCCCAGACCCAGATTCATACAATCACCTTTTCCTGTCAAACACGGGGATCACTGACATCGCTTTCACCCAGAATTACTCTGGTGAAGTGTAACCTCCGGATTAACCTCTGATCAGCAGGATGCTGCTGAACAGCAGCCAAGCTAGGTGGGAGAAATTCCATCAATACTCTAATCCTCACATCCCAACTGCTCAAGGCCAGAAGACTCGATTCAGTGTCTCTTAGGACTTCTGCAATTCAGAGCCTGCTGCCTGAAACATGCCTCTGCTTTTATGGGAAACTGCAGCTGCTGCCTGCTGCAAAATCACCTAAGGCAGCAAGGGAAGGGAAAGGAGGTGATGGTCTGAATGCCTCAGGTAGCCCAGTTTGAACCCAGCTGGAATCTACCTACCACAGTGACATCCAGACCATCACACAGCGGCAGTTTCCCAGATTTCTGTATCCCTGGTAGAGAAGTTTTCCTGTGACTTATCAGTGCTGAATACCCCTGTAACACTGCGCAGAGCAATGCCAGGCCCTGCAGTGACAAACTGAGACAAGGCCCTGGAAGGTCTCCATCTTAGATACCTCAGAACAAGGAGAATGCAAAACATACATTTATTTTTTCTTCCTCTGGATCCAGGAAGGATAGAAACTTCCTCTGAAATGGTTACTCATGGAAATAAGACACTTTGAGGAGCCACCTCAGATGTTTCAAGACTCGATACTAAAAGCCAACAGTATGTTGCTCACAGCTGATGTCTGGAGCCCACCAGAGACACAAAGACACAGCAGTGTGCACTGTTTATAAAGACTTAAAAAGGGATATCTCAGTCCCTTTATCCCATCCAACATCTAATACATCCAACCTTTTGCTATGTCACATAAGAAGTCACCTATTTTACAAGTGTCTTTAGCTGGTGGATTAGTATGAGATACTGCTGCAGACTCCCAGCCTGAGCTCTCCTGCTCTTGTCAATCCATCCCACATTGTCCTCTGGGTAAAATGCTAATATGATCCTTGCATATGGCTTCAAAAATGATCAGTCCCTGTCCAAAAAGCAACTGCACAGCTGAGATACCAAAGAGATCAGGAGGGGTCTCTGCATTGCATGGCTGGTCCCAAATCGGGGAAGCTCAGCTGTGCTGGAAGCACAGCCCTCTCTGCAGAGCAGCATAGAGAAGAGCACGAGTTGGAGCTGCTTGGCACAGCACAGCCACCATTTCTGAAACAGTGGGATTTAGCAGACAGGCAGGCTGAGAGCTTAGAGCAGCAGCGTGACATTATTTGGAGACAGCTAGGGCTGGGTCACTGGAGTATTGCCATGGCTTCATTAGCCCTTCCAAATTTACCATGAAGTTTAACACAGCTATTACAGACTAGTGCTTAAATTAATGGATGTACAGCTAATGTTAGCTCAGAGCCCTGCCAGCCTCATTTAGACATGAAGCATCAGATAAATTTCCCCATGCTGAGCTGTGCTGGTGCCTGCCTGACCCGTGAGCTGCCACATGGTCAGGAGTTGTGAGGGGTAACCAATGGCCATCCCCTCCCTACACCCCATGTCCCAGCCACTGCATAAGGCTGAGTGGATCATGTACAACTCTGAAACCCCTAAGGGAAGGGAAAGAAAAGGTAGAAAACATCCTCTGTCCAGATACTGTGAGGAAGGTGACCATGCAAGAGTCCTTGCAACTCACACCTCTCTTGTCTGGAGGGGAAGAGGGACCTTTCCAAGGGTCCAGAAAGAGGCACCTACACATATGAGAGCCTCCCTTTCCTCAGGCCTCTACAAGGGGGCTGTGAACTTCTCCGAATCCACAGATTTTAGTGTTCTTCCTCTCTTTTTCTATTTTGTAAGAGCTGCTAATAGAGGCTCTGCCCCCTGTGCTGCTTGAGACAAGAGCTGACTCGATCACAAGTCTCATCCCCTTCCCAGGTGGGCAGGCAGAGACCACCACTCCTCACTTGGAAGCCGGTATATAACTGCCCCAGCTTCCCATCTCATGCTAACTACAGAGGAACTGAAGAGAGGCTCAGCACAGGTGTCATCACCAAGTACTTTAGGCAGTTCAGCCCTTTGAGCAAAGCCACTGACATTTTACTGAAGTTTTCAGATGCAAACATTGAATGCACCCAAAAATCCTGAGCAGAGAAAAGCACATCACAAGACCTTGGCACCTCTGGAGTTAAGGAGAAAGCTTAGATTTCAGTTGTCTCCTCTTAGGCAGCTGCACAACCAGTAGAAGAAAGCAATGCTGCTTCCTGTTTCGTATTTTCAAAGCACACAGGAAATCCCTCAACTGAGCTGTTAAAATCTCAAGAAGCCCTTTCAGCACAGGGCAAAGCTGGATCCCTTTGCATCCACAGTGCCACCCAGGCAGAAACTGCTCTTTGTCAGCCAAGGAATTTGTCTTACTCCTTTTTGGAAAGCAACCAAACAACAGACCACATAAAGAACCAGCATGCAGAATGGGCTGTAAGGTGCTCCACCCTCCTAGTCTGTAATGCATAAGCTTGAGAACGGAGCTGGTTTGGCTGCCCAGAAATGAAAACAAATACCAAGGAGAAAAATGGGGATTGCCATGTTCTGCATGAGCCAGAGCTACCTTTCATCTCTGCAGACTCACAGCTCTTCAAGTGTAAAACAAGCCTCATCTGCTAGGAATGACAGTGTATCAGCACCTTATAAATACTGCCTCCGAACACTTATTCCAGAGAGATGAAGAAAAACTACAGTGTACATGTTCAGCTGTGGGAGAAAAAAAAATCTCCACGCTCATCCTTGCTTGGCACTTTTAGCCCTAACATCCAGCTATACCTGCACAGTGTAATCAGTTCCATCATTCATTCCCAACAACTGCTCCATCTGTCCTGGGCTACTTTGAAGCTTCACTGCTGCCGCATAGTAACCTTGGAACTGTGTGCAGAGATAAAAAAAAATAAGCTCTAAATCATATTTCCTGCAATTTACCATTAATTCAACATGACAAGCAACATTCAGACAAAGCAGGATCTGGTTTTTTTGATGTTTAGAGTAAAAATAGGCAGCCACAGCAGACAAAATGCTTAAGGACCAAAGATCTTGAGCAGATGTAACAAAGGGGAAACAAAGCAGCGCTGAGTACTCAAGAGTTCTGCTGCTCACATCAAAACTGTTTATCAAAGTATTCTTTGGGGAGCTTGCAACTCTTTTAGAAAGTTGCCAAGAGACAGTCACGCAATACAGAACAGATCTCACATGTCACCATTGAGCCATGGACCCTCAAGCATGCCAAAAAGCATCACAAGTGTAAATAGCAGAGGAATTGTTCCAGACTTCTTAGAGACAGCATCAACTTACATTGCAGTAATCCTGTGTAAGCAGCACAAACACTTGGTTTGTGACTTTAGCTGTAAAAGTATTTTATTAAACAGGACAAGCAATGTCCTACCACCAAAGGAGGAACCTAGAAAGTGTCCAGCCATTGTTACCTGATAGGGACCTTCATCGTCCTCCTCAAACTCTGTGTTTGGAAGGCTGTGATGGCGCTCGTACCCCGTCCGGCACACCCCGTTGGGCTGCCGGGCCACGTCCAGGTGGTGGTCACTGGAGGACTGTGTCATAACCATCCCCTGTGGGGTGGGAGAGTGGCCTTTGCGGGACACGGTCTCCTTTCGGTGATGGATCAGTTTTCTGAAACAGAAAGACAACGCTAGGGACAGAACAGCTAAAGGAAGGGAGCGACCACGCTCCAACATTGGAAGGATACATAGAAATCATTCATTGCACTTGGGCTGTACACACCAGAATGGGTTACACTGCTCTGAACACCAACTCCAGTTTCATTAACAACTAAGGAAGCACTTCTGGGGGAGGAAGGAAGAGGCTTTGCAAGAGCCCATGATTTATTCATCACTTCACTGGAGAAAAATGCCACTTCCTCAGGGGGAGAATCACATATTGCACTGCAAGCTTCAGAAATTGCCTGCACTTTAGAGTCACTGTTAACTGAGATTAAACCAGCACGCCTCAGTGCAGTGTGAGGTGTCAGAAAAAAACAGAAATTCTCCTCACAAGCAATTATTTAAAAACATATTAAGGACCTTGTGCCATATGCCAACAACCCCTGCCATTCCTGGCTGATAGAGAAAATGCATCCAGAAAGGTTTTGGATTTCTCCTCTAACCCTACAGAGCAGTTGAGAGTTTTCTCTTCTTTACAGCACAGGGACTCAAAATCAATTATATCCAACCTGACCCCCAAGAAGAGAAAAGACACAAGCATCACATGCTGACGACCCTCCATCTGCCAGCTCTCCCAGACAGCCATTGTACTTACTGGAGGACATCTCTCTGCTCCAGGTTGTACTTTCCTCCATTCTTCATGGCTGCATTGTGCACAGCCTCAATGGCACGATCAATGGACTGGAGAACCACATCTTGCTCCAGCACCTGAGAAACACAACATGCCACACGTTACTGCAGCACTTCAGCTGTGGTTCTTTTGCACCAGAGCTTTGGCAGGAGACTGCAGAACAGGAAACCCAGAGCACAGGCACCACACGAGCCCAACTGCCAACAGACAGCTCTCAGAGCCAGAACCCCATCTCAACACCATCTCACCTTCTCTCCATCCTCCAAAGAAAACATATTCAAAGTTGTGCTTCAAACCAAGTCTGCCCTTTCAAGGTTTATGGTTGGAAAACAAAGCAACTGTTTCCAGCACCAAACTTCAGTGATCATGACAAGAACACCCAGGGCAGAGCTCCAGGGCCGAGCAGCACCTTTTAATATTCAACCTGCTGTAGAGACCTTTTGAGCTCCACTGCAAAGCCCAGCTTATCCCAAGCTCAATTACTTCTGCTCTCACTGCCCTGCTATGGAGCAAATACACAGCTGTGAATGTTCTAGACCTATTCAAAATCTGGTGGCCTTCAGAGTCCATTTGCTCTAGGTTTGCAGTTTTTGCTTGCTTTTTTCTTGATGTTTTTTATACTTGATTTGCAACTTGAAGGGGCTTCTCCAAATCTCCACCCGAACTGTAATAGCAACATTTACTCTTCCTGCCAGCCAGTTCAGCACTCGTTACTGTACCTGAAATAAACACCAGCCTTAAAACAAAAAATATCAAACATATATAATTTCCAGGTTTACACAGGAGGCAAAGAAAGCTGTGGAAAAGGGGCACTGGAAGGAAAAGCAGGTTCCCAGGCTTGGGATATTCTTCAAGGCTTTGCTTATCAGCAGTTGACATGCCCTCCGCAAAGACCTTTAAAGGACTAAGGTTGAAGGCAAAGCAGATGTTAGAGAGTCTTGACCCTGGATCTAGCAGACCCACAGGTCTTTTGCAAGATGCTGGTGGTGCCTGCACCATCCGTTCGCTCAGCCCGTGCACACCAGGAAGGAGAGCTCAGACCCCAGTGCTCACTGCAGCTGCTTGAACACTAAAACCCCTTCATCTCTGCTTGCTTTGCCCCCTCCTTGCATCAGAGCAACCATTTATCCAGCCAAGAAGAGGCTGGAATCTCATCAAGGCTGCACCTTAATTGGCCTTAGGGGGCTGCAGAGCAGCAGAAGGCAAGCCCTGCCCACCGAGGCCGCCAGCGCCTGCCTCCATAGCACTGGCATGCAGCTTCCTGATAACATGCTATGTATTATTTATAACCTGATTAATTGCTAAACCAAATGTGAATTAAGAGCAACTGCAGATTGTGT